AGGTATAATTAAGCAGTTTATCGGCCGATAGCGGCCGATAGCGGCCAATAACCTCGTTCCGTTCGGGAAGCGGCTGTACTAGCAGCGTTAGGCCCAATCGGTAACACCGGTCCTATCGGTAGGCTTGCGTTCGCACCGGGTTCGTCCTGCGGTCGTAAATCGGCTCGTCTCCGTTCGGGAAGCGTGCGTCCTGCGTTCGTGCCACAAAAAGTGGATACTTGGGCGTAATTCTAACTGTATAATTAATATTGTCAAAGTTAGATAAAAAGTAGCACCAGTCCTATATATTTCTTTATATTTCATTATACATTGAAAGAAATTTTCTTCAAACATGCATTTTCTAGAACCTGATTATCATCCAGTCATTTTTTAACTGGTAATATATTCACTTAACAGTGCATCAAAGACAATATGAAAAAATCAATTTTCACCAAAGAAGTTTGAAAAGAAAAACTTCCTCAAGAAGTGATGTTATTGCACATGTATGGCGGGAAGTTTCGTGACAGTTGGAAAAGAAATGAAGTCTGTAGAGCTATTTCTGTCAAACATTGTTTATAATAACTCTGACCTTTTTTTTTTACCTCAGTAGGTCGAAACACAAACTCAAAAAGAGGTTATGTTAACATGTGTGTGAAGTTTCATGGAAAATGGAGAAAAAGAATGTTTGTAGAGTATACGTACGTAGTGACACCATATAAATGAAGGACAGATACGTTACAAAGAAATGAACAGGCCCTATACACCCTCAACGACTCATCATGCGAGGGTATATCAATATGTCATAAGAATATCTATAGAAAATATTCATAAACCCATTATTTTTGTATCCATGGCTCCATATAACAAAATGTTTTACTGTAAACTGTCATCATAGCCTGCCATAATGTAGTCCACTTTCTCTGGAACACGCTTACAGCCTGTCACAGAAAACATTTTCTCATCTTCAGGGAAGTAAGGCAATTGATCTGCAATTTCTCTCACAATTCTGTCATCTATATCGCCATGGTTACGATAGTATTTTTTGGTGATGAGACTGTCTTTTATACACTGTCTAACATGTTTACGCTCCATTGGTAAAAACGGCAGGTGAGCAGAAATCATGTGTGAAAGGAGAAGCTCGCTGTGCCATAATCCACCTAGTAAGACAAAGTGAAATCATGCATCAAAATACATCATTGTATATATATAGCACACAGCAAAAAAAAAATATTTACAGATCAAAACACATTTTGTATATATAACATACAACAAAACAGTGTATCAAAGCATTGCTGCTGATAAATTAGAATATTAATTAGGCAAATTCATCCAAACTATTGTTATTTTTAGGCAAATTATATTTTTAATTATCACTGTATCTAATTAGAGAATTTCACTGAGGTTTGTTCTGTTTTAACTGTTGCCAGGCTGTGAAAGGAAACTACACCCCTGATCAGAAGCTCAGTTGGTTAGAGGGACGTTTTTGTGCTTAGAGGTCCAAGGTTTAATCCTGGTATGGCTTTGTTGAATTTCTTACATTCTAAACTCTGTTTTTCTTTTTAATCAATTCATTTTTTTGGTTTTGTTTGTTCATATTTATTGTTTTTCTTTATCAATATTTTGCAAAGTATTGGTTTACTTTCAAAAATGAAATGTATTAAACTTTCTGTCATGTAAGTTGCAGTGAAAGATCAGTTTCCGAATCAATGTAATTGTTTTTGGCATTGGTATTGGGATCCTTGAAATAACTGAGCATTTCTTTAAAATTTCTGGCTAAATATGTTTTTGTTCACAGATTGAGAAATTATTCATCAAGTTAATTAACTTTTATAAGAGCATCATTATCAATGTTTTTGTCAGTTGAACACATGAGTATGATAAAGCTATCAAGAAAAGCTACAGAAAATTAAACGATCTATTGTATAACACAAACTATTTGTGCATACTTTCTTTCGTGGTAGGAAGCTATTTAGATTGTTTTGTGGTACAAACTTTCGTGGATATCTCATATAAACAAACAGCAGTCAAGTATATCAATTTAAATCATCATTTCTATTTAGTGGTTCGATAGCAACCTTGAAAACCATGAATGTTTATACACAATGAACATTTCATGTTATACAGTGGTTGGTCGTTCAAGCCAGAGACGTATAATACAGAGATTGGCAACTTGCTCTTGGCCTTACCATTGGTCACTGGTATCGAGAGTTACGCTTCACCTGCGCCATATTGGATATGCGGTTCGCTGCATTCAACTCAAATCAGAATTATGCCATGAGAAAACATCGCAAATCAACGTAACATTAAAACCGTACGTAGCTACAAAATGTAGCTGAGATTTCCATGCGGTTTGGGAGTGCTACATTGAATGTAAACTTGAATGATTAAGTTTAGAAAACCCCAAACATCGAAAGATTGCACATCGTGGCTGTGTTTACATATCGGTAATTATTCTGGCTTCAGGATAACACTATCTCCGTTTTTGTTCTTTAGACAATTTCAAAAAAGTTTTCAGAAATTAATTATATGATAATATTTCTAACCAGGAAATTTAAATGAGGTTGTTACAATACTTGCAAAGTTTCATAATTCAGCTGTGAAAAGACAGGTTTTTCTGAGAAATCAAGTTAAAATGGCGGCTCTGATTTTGAGGGTTATTTCTATCATGACAAATTTTGAACACTATCTCCGTTTTTTTTCTTTAGACAATTTCAAAAAAGTTTTCAGAAATTAGTTATATGATAATATTTCTAACCAGGAAATTAAAATGAGGTTGTTACAATACCTGCAAAGTTTGATAATTGAGCTCTGAAAATACACTTTAAAATAACCATGTGAAAATGGCGGCTGTGATGTGCGAGAGTTAATTCCTTTCATGACACCGGCACTCCTTTCTCGTTCATCTTTTTATTTCAAAAACGTATTCAGATATAACATTATATTTCTAACCAGCTTCTTTATATGATCCATATATCTAGGATAAGTGACATGTTGACACGAACTAACGAATACACGATCGAACTCTCACACAGGTAACTCACTGACCAGACTATCGTCACCAGGTCGATAAGCTGTCAAAACAAACACTCGTAGATCATGCGTGATTTTGCGAGATCAGCGAGAGTTGCCAATCTCTGTATTTATACGTCTCTGTTCAAGCCAAGAGTAAAAGCTGTGGACCAATTTTACCATTAGAAACTCACTGTTTTTAGTGTTAACTGCGGCCTTGGTGATCAAACTCTCCATGTCTACTAGAGCCAGCTGCTCCCTCAGTCGTCCTTCCCTCCACTGGTTAAGTGTCTCGGTCAGTATGGCTTTACCAGCAGTGTTACTGTGGACAAAGAAACCATAGGTCAGTATAAAACTAAGAATCTTTATGAGGGTTACTATTTCTTTTACTATTTCTTTTGTATTAGGGTTACTAATTTTTTTTTATTAGGGTTACTATTTCTTTTTAACGAGGGTTACTATTTCTTTACATCCATCACACAAGGGTGACTGACAATATTTCTCCCACACAGATTATCTACAAGTATTGGATATATCAAGTGGAAATGTTACATTTCCTTAACACATGAATATGGAAATCCTGACAGAACAAACTTCACTAAGTGTTCAAAACAAAAGCTTGTGTGAACTGTCTGTTCATACTTAGGGAAAGATATCTTTTTCCCTATTTGTCTATGATAAACTTAAGATGTGTCAGTGGAATGCTATTTGACAATTGAAATCTGGCTTAACCTTGACTTAGTTCTAATACAATCACAGCAACATCATAAAATCAGACACAAGAACTACTAGAAACTTGAGTGATTTATATATAATTAGATGACCTTGAACCTACTGTACATGTCTTCATAAAGTGGCTAAGGTGACCTAGACCAAGAATGCCTAGAATGACCTTGACCCTAGATTGGCTATGATTTATTACCTGAGGAAGATAAAGATACTTTTCCTAAAGTCCACTCCACCCACATCCTCATAGAAGTCAAGGTAAGGCTTGACGATGTCTAGAAGTCCAACAGGCATCTTGTCTACCTCGTCAAATATGAACAGCGAGCGCTCACATTCAGCAACATTTGATTCAATCAACTCCTTTAACTTATCCTGTTATGAAATAATATAAGCTGTGTTAATAACAGGACTCAAACACATAAAAGTTATTTTGAAATATTAATATCTTTAATCATAAGTAATGTAATTATATAAATCACACACCTTATAAAGAGGCACCATTTCTTTGTGAGGGAATTCCTTGGTGGCTGATATGAGGTGAACATATTTACTTTTCATGCCTTTCCTGTACAAACTCTCGGCTATGATCTTGCTGACAAAGTTTTTGCCTGTGCCTGTACTGCCATGGAAGGAGAGGGCCAGGGCTTTACTTGGGCTGGCTGAGCGGGTGTGAGCACGCAGGTGGTTAATCACTGCTGACGTACACAGATGCTGTCCGTACACGTGTAAGTCCAAGGATCGGCGCAGGGCTACATTACAGAGTAAAATATAGGTGTGTAAATGTGTGAGTTGAAGGATCAGCGCAGGGCTACATTACAGAGTAAAATACAGGTGTGTAAACGTGTGAGTCGAAGGATCGGCGCAGGGCTACATTACAGAGTTAAATACAGGTGTGTAAATGTGTGAGTCGAAGGATCGGCGCAGGGCTACATTACAGAGTTAAATATAGGTGTGTAAATGTGTGAGTCGAAGGATCAGCGCAGGGCTACATTACAGAGTTAAATATAGGTGTGTAAATGTGTGAGTCGAAGGATCGGCGCAGGGCTACATTACAGAGTTAAATATAGGTGTGTAAATGTGTGAGTCGAAGGATCGGCGCAGGGCTACATTACAGAGTTAAATATAGGTGTGTAAATGTGTGAGTCGAAGGATCGGCGCAGGGCTACATTACAGAGTTAAATATAGGTGTGTAAATGTGTGAGTCGAAGGATCAGCGCAGGGCTACATTACAGAGTTAAATATAGGTGTGTAAATGTGTGAGTCGAAGGATCGGCGCAGGGCTACATTACAGAGTTAAATATAGGTGTGTAAATGTGTGAGTCGAAGGATCGGCACAGGGATTCATTACAGAGTTAAATAAAGGTGTGTAAATGTGTGAGGCGAAGGATCGGCGCAGGGCTACATTACAGAGTTAAATATAGGTGTGTAAATGTGTGAGTCGAAGGATCGGCGCAGGGCTACATTACAGAGTTAAATATAGGTATGTAAATCTGCGAGTCTAAGGACTGGTGCAGGGCTACATTACAGGATTAACTATAGGTATGTATATCTGTGAGTCTAAGGACTGGTGCAGGGCTACATTACAGAATTAAATATATATCCTTGGGTACCAAAAGTTTTTTTATAAATTTCAGTAAATAAACAAATGTCAATGATAAAAGCATTAACATTGATATCCCTTAAAAGATCATCATTACAGCAGCATGTATGAGGTAAACAATTTTATGTCATAATTAAGTAAAAAAAATAAGAATGAGAAAGAGATACCTAAAAGTAAAACAATCATAAATTATTACTCTGTCCCAGCACTCATTATCACTTATCAGTGATCAATATGAAATCTAACCTGTCTCATTGAGCATTATGTGGCGATCTATGCAGCATTCAGCAAAATATCGGCATTTGACAGGTCTGTAGGCGGCCATGAATGTGGCGGAGATTCCTGCTCCCACAGCAGTGATAATGGAGACAGGTTCCAGGCAGGTCGAGCTCGGCACCAGAAGGACCAGGCTTAGCCACCAGAGTACACCTTTAATTTTGAATGGCTTCATTGCCATTCTTAAAACTGAAAGGAAAACAATATGTACCATGCTGAGTTATACCAGATAACATTGTTCACTAAACCACTAGTTTGGGTATCCCCTTGACAAGTATACAAAGGCTACTCCAAACAAGAGGCCCAGATGGCCCGTATCACTCACCTGGATAATTAATATATAGATTTATATGTAATCGAGCAATTATGGGAAAATATTCTCATTAAATATAATACTTGCAACTATTTCCAAATATTTGCTGTCTCTAAGCAACAACTAATATTGGGCACCTTCTTGCTGTCCCGCTGAAGTGGTAGATTTTAAACATTTACCTCAATTTTCTCTATTGGGCCCCACCACTCTGCTCTCGGGGGGGGGGGGGGGGACACATCCTCCATTTATACAAAATTAAGGCCCCTTTGTCAAGTAAGGCTCTCCATTATAAGGAAGAGGGAGTTTTAAAGATTTATCCCTATTGAGCACTGCCCCTCTACCTGAACCCACCTTTTATATAAACTGGAGTCTCCTTTACCTAAAGATGTTCAACACAAATTCGGATATTTCTTATCTTATATTCGTATGGAAGGAGAAGGATTTTAAACATGTACTATTATGTTTCCACTATTGGGCCCCACCCCTCTGTTCCCCGGGAGTCCACACTCTACATTCATAAAGAAATGAGTCACTCTTGAGAATGCAGGCTCTACCCAGTCCAACCAAATTTGGTTAGAATACCTCAAATCGTACAGAAAGAGAAGGATTTTAAACTTTAACCTACACTTCCCCTTGTGGGCCCTGCACCTCTGCCCTAGGGAGGCCAAACATCTCACCGATACAAAATTGCTAAAGGATTCTCCACACAAAATTTGGTTTAAATCCCTCCAATCGTTCTGAAACAGAGGGTTTTTAAACATTTATCCCAATGTTCTCTCTAATGGGCCCCACCCCTCAGCCCCCAAAGGAGCCATGACCTCCATTTATACATAATTGAATGCCTCTTGCCCAATGATACTATATGCCAAATGTGTTTAAAACCTCTCCATTCATACAGCAGAAGGATTGTAAACATGTATCCATGTTCTCCCTCATTGGCCTGCACCAGTCTGCACCCATACCCTCTGAGTATATGTAAATCTTTAATTGAATTTCCCTTGCCAAAGGATTTTCTATACAAAATTTGGTTAAATTCTCTTTGTTTTTACAGAAGGTATAATTCTAAATGGCATATTTATTACCAAAAGGTCATCCCATGTCACGGCATGAGCCAATAGGATTGATCACAGGCACCACTGTAACAGCTGAAGGAGAAGGAAAATGCAATGAAGCCAAAAGGTATGCATGGGAGTCGAAACTCTAGACAGATGATGAAACTGGTCATTTGTTATATTATCACCAATGCAGTCAAGAACCTGCTACAGTAATACAGTGTACATGAAATTTCAAAGGCTTTAAATAGGCCTATACCTTTTGGTAATAAATATGCCATTTAGAATTATGCCCCCTCCGCATTAAAACCAATTAGTCACTGTAATATAAGCTAACCACGGAATTAGATTTCTATCTAAGTACGTGGTATAACCAGATCTCTGGTATAACTGTAAGTTATAACATATATATACAGATAGATAGGATAGATGGTAACAGGTCATCTCGGCACAAATTGTGGATACGACGACACAAAATACCAACAAAAGATTAACGGATTTCAGATTAAATTGCAACTTAAACATCAAACTAGAAAAAATAAGTACCGACTTGTCTTCACAAAGTGCCGAGGTAACCAAGTCATAAAAAGGCAAGTGCCGAAAATATAAGTGCCGAGGAAACCAAGTGCCGACTTCACCAAGTGCCGAGGCGTCTAGCATTACAGATAGATGCCTAATATAACCCCCATAGACAAATACACATGCCTATTCGTTCTAAACATAAACTATAAAGGCCTTCGTTTCGCAAACTGTATAATATATATCATACCATAAAATCCCACAATGGCAGGAACCATTAATTGTGTCAGTCTCTCCCGCGCTTCGTTTGTTTAATGTAATCATCGTACAAAACGAAAGAAAAACTATTTTGAGGTGAATCTCCGTCGCTCAGACGCTTTTGTATCATATGACGAGTTAGTCAGCGTACAACTATCAACAATAACAGGTAAATAGTGTCAATCTGATTAGTTACACAGTATTGATAACGATACAAACTTCACATTGATACAACAAAGTGTAGGACTGACTGTTGCTGATTATCTTAGTCAAAACGTCGATATCAAAATTATGTGTCTTAGAGATAATCCATTCATTTTCAGACAACTCGCAGGAGAGACCATCGGCTTGCCCTCTTTTATAAGATCGTGAAGGGGCTAGTGGCCATACCTGTAGATCACATATTGAATCCATCAAACACCCGTACCAGATAAAAAAAAATAGTGAAAATTACCGACATTTCCAGTGTAATACGGACAAATTTAAAAAAATATTGTTTTCCTCGAACAACAACAGAGTGGAATAATCTACCAGAAGACCTCGTCAAATTGCAAAAACTTAAAAGCTTCAAGACAGCACTACAAACTGAAACAATATAAACTAAAAGCGCACTCCTCCAATCCTGGAATTTATACTCAAATTTGAGGTCTTCCAGTAACAGACAGACAGAAACTTATTAACGGGTCGGGTACAACGTTCCTTCAAACACTTGGAGCGAACGGGACGTTATTCTTTCAACTAAATACATTAAATAACACAATAAAGCACATTTGTACACATATAGTTATCAACTTTGATGTCTAACTTTTTATGACAATGACCAACCACAGGCGCTTGCATCTGGTATTTAATACCTGAGCCAAAATCCACTACTTACATATATATATATATGTAAGTAGTGGATTTTGGGTTTTAGCTAAGGTATAAAATACCAGATACAAGCGCCTGTGTGGACCAACCATATCTATATCACTGACTTTGGTCTCCATTGACCAGTGTTTACTTTGAATATCAACAGTCATCGACTAAATTTACACTTTGATTTGTGTACTGATTTATTTCAGATCTCGGGATGGAACGTTGGAATGATGTAGTTGGAAATCTCACTACAGCTTTTCACAATGTGACAACAATATCTCCAAATGTGACAACAATATCTCCAAATATGACAACCATATCTCCAAATGTGACAACCATTTCTCCTGATTGTGATTCCACCCCAGAGTTTGTCGGATATATTGCTGTTGCAGTTGCTGTCCTTTGTTATGGAACTAACTTTGCTCCTGTGAAAAAGTTCGAAACTGGCGATGGTATTTAAACATTGTACATTAAACATACCTTGTATGATCAAGTTTATATAGTAGTGTGGCAGATTTTAATTGATCGATATATAGGATTACGATTGCATTTGTTGTAGCTTTGTGTTAGAGGGAATTTCCCTTTAGTATTTATATAGCTCAATTGGCATTTTGGTCGACTAGAAAGGTGCTTGTGGAAAAACACAACTCTATTTTAAATTCCTATTAAAGTAGTAACCAATGAAAGTTAAGTATTCATTACATTGAGTTTGTCAAGGAATATAAATGCAGGAACAGATTTAGATATCTTCATGTTAAGAGTTGATGTATTGAGTCTTGGAAAAAGATGTGCATTCATAATAAAAAAAATCACTTATTACAGAAAGGATTTAGAAAATGTTACAATACGATTAATTTTAAATTTGTTGGTTTTAAACTTTTTTTAATCAAACAAAAGTTGTGTTCCTTTGAAATATTAACACATTAAACCCGTTTAATTGCTCTGAGTATTTGCAAATTGCATGAAATTAAATGAATCACTGGTGTAGTTTGTCAAAAACGTGTACATATTTCCAATCTGCTTTCTTGTTTTAGGGATGTTTTTCCAGTGGATTGTATGCAGTGCCATTCTGTTGTCTGGCATAGTCATACAGATAGTGAGACAAAGTACATTCTACCCCATAGTCATGTTGGGAGGGGTGTTGTGGGAGACAGGTAAGATATTATACACTTAATGCCTTTAATTTGTTGTAGGGAAACACGATTCATGTTTCCCTCATTAAAAAATAACACAATAGTAAAGGTGATTATTTTGACCTGCCATTGTTGTCATCCTCCTCACTCAGTCGGAACTCAGGGTGTTGAGAAAGATATTGGCTGGTTGCAAAGACCCATGTAATAACCACGGATAATAATTTGTGAACCGCTTTGAGACGACCTACATTACAATTAACCTAGGTTGTGGTAAAACCATATATATAAGAAGCATAAATTGTTGTACTTTGTAAGAATGATGCCCAGGCATATTACAGTACATTCATGTACTTGCATGGTTATTATATTTATGAAAACCATTTTCTTGCCTTGGATGCTGAAATATGGATGGATTGGTCGAGTGGTTAACACTCCGGCCTTCCATGCATGCAGGCGGCCTGGGTTCAATCTCCGAAGTGGTCGTACGCATGGAATATTCAGAGAAAGTATTTTTCTCCTACCCACACAACTCCAACAACCCAGGTGGAGTATAAAATGGTCTGGGGTGGATGTTGCGGTATCTGTGCTGTAGCGCTTAAGTGAGGTGGCACTATTAATGATACCGTTGGAAGCACAGCCCCACTACAAACAGAACACATTACATCTCCAGCACACACGTAGTCATACATACATACAGAGATATAAGCCAGGTGGCATAGGACTAGTAGTAAGCGCCTGATAAGGCAGGTGCTCCTGCCAATTCCTCAAAAATTGCATTGATTAATGTAAATACTAATTGTATTAACTGTATATCTACAATGTATGTACTGTAAAGTGCTTTATAGTGGCTTATGTTAGCTAGATAGGGAGCTATATCAAATGTTGTTGTATATTTTTAGATATACTGTGACAGGTTCTTTGAATTACAGGTAACATCATGGTGGTCCCTATCATCAAAACCATAGGCCTGGGCTTAGGACTCTGCATTTGGGGAATGGTCAATCTCCTTAGTGGCTGGGCCACTGGAAGGTCAGTATCTAGAAACTTCTCTCAACCATTAACTATCCAATGGTCAGTGACAATTGATGGGACTGTGACAATGCAAGTGTGATGTAGAAGGTAGAAATGATCAATGAAGTTGGTGAAAGAAAACCGTTAAGTTCTGCCTAATGTAAAAACAAACAAAAACAGGTTTCCAAATGGAGGAGAGAACCAATGCCCACGTTGTTGTGTGTCGTAAGTGGGTTGTAGGAATCTACGATGGATACCCAATTGTTTTCACTAGTGCTTAATCAAGGAAGGTTAACACAAATAATAGCAGAGATTGTCAACAGTTGACAGTGAATAACTATCTAAACTGTATGTAAGTAAGGGGGGAAAAAAATGGTAATAATTTTTACATGTTCTTAGATTCATCTTATTACAAGGCTAATGGTGAAGCTCCAGTAGATCCCCCTGACTAGGAGGTGATTAGGGGCAGTCAGCTCCTTAAGATATGAATGAAAGAGAAATTCAAACCATACCCTAATAATGCTTCATTGTTAAATACAAACAAAGTACATATTTGTAATGATTTATGTACTGAAGGAGGGAAGACCAAACTTACCGATGACACTTGTGGATGATATTGATGGAGTTTAAATTTCAATAATAGTACTGACACAACCAGCACATGTGATAATTCTGAACGTTTCATAGTTATGTGTTTTTATATTAACTCCACAGGTTTGGTTTCTTTGGTATCACACAGGAGATCCCTGATGATCCTACAATGAACTATGTAGGAGTGGCGGTAGCAGTCTCAAGGTAACCAGCATACTGAGAGTTTCAAATGTATACCATGTACTTATAAACCCACCACAAAGTGTATGTAATGTACTGTAATTCATGATACGATTGTTAGTCATACCATTAATCCTGCTGATAGTGCTATTTGTATATTACAGTGCTGTAGTGTTTTCCTTTGTGAAGAGTACCATAAAGCCCCCTACTGATGGCGAAACCAGCGACCAAGACGAGGACTCTGACGCCTTAATATCTAGTGTGAGTACTACCTATGTACATGGTTGCAAAACAGCAAGAAATTACATTCAGAAATAGTACGTTTTTTTATTACCCATTGTCCCTGTTATTTTGAAATATAACACTTTTACGTTGTTTCAGTTTGTTTTTGAATATATGAAAAAAGGAAGTAAAATAAAGTATCCCTTCAATTGCAGACATTTGGTAACCCTAACGATTCCTTGTACTCTACGGGGAGTGGACAGGAGGACTTACTGTTTAACAGACCGGGGGTATGTTACTATGAACCTGCAGAGAGGACAATCCTTTTTTTGTGATTTATACGAGTTGTGTCTCATAATATGATGTGAATTATTTGAACTTTTTCACAAAAATTGAATTTATAAAAAAAAGTATAACTGCTCAGTTTGTTTTGAACAACAACAGGACTTTAAAACTTGTCTTGCTAGCTTTAAATAATGTCTGTTTTCTTTGTCAATCAAAAGACGCAAAATCACACAAATCAAACAATGCATAGACTTGGCATTTATTAATCATACCAAACTGATGAATGTCATTCCGAACATGTAAAATACATCTCAGTGATGTGTAAAGACAATTTATTATGAAATCATAGAGTTTTGTTAGTTTTCACAGTGAATGTATGTCTCCAATTGATCAGTGTATTGGGAAAAAAGCAACAAAATATTCACTGAGGTTACAGAAATCTCCTATATTTCTATTGTAAGAATCAAGCAATGAATATTTAAATATTAATAGTGTTACAAACAATATAAAAACAAATGTTATTTATATATATATATTATTATTTTTTTTAGATATTTCAGTGTTTAAAAAAACCCACTGGAATTAAATTAATGTTCTGTGATACTTTTATAATGTAATTGAAATGTTTCATCTCATTTCAGAAATCTGTAAATGGTTTATGCCACGAATCCCCAGACAATACCTTCCTTGACAGACTATCTCCAGGAAAGAAGAGAGTAGTGTATGTGACTTTTACTTTTAGACAATGAGCCTAAGTCCTGTGAAGAGTGGGATGGTGTTGTCCTGGGTGTGGGAGTGATATGGGTACATTTAAAATTTGTTTGTTAATGTATTTCTGGATATAAAACTCATCTGATGGATTTATCACAGGTAACATCTGTTTAAGTAGGGGGTGGGCTTATTTCTGAATATGAGTTTATCCCAGGTAACATTTGTTTAAGTAGGGGGTGGGCTTATTACTGAGTATGAGTTTATCACAAGTGACATCTGTTTAAGTAGGCGGTGGGCTAAATATTACTGAGTGTGAGTTTATCACAGGTAACATCTGTTTAAGTAGGGGGTGGGCTTATTCCTGAGTATGAGTTTATCACAGGTAACATCTGTTTAAGTAGGGGGGGGGCTTATTACTGAATATGAGTTTATCACAGGTTTCATCTGTTTAAGTAGGGGGTGGGCTTATTTCTGAATATGAGTTTATCACAGGTAACATCTGTTTAAGTAGGGGGTGGGGTTATTACTGAGTGTGAGTTTATCGCAGGTTACATCTGTTTAAGTAAGGGGTGTCTTATTACTGAGTATAAGTTTAACAAAGGTTAGATCTGTTTAAGTAAGGGGTGGGCTTATTACTGAGTATGAGTTTATCACAGGTTACATCTGTTTAAGCAGGGGGTGGGCTTATTACTGAGTTTGAGTTTTATCACAGGTAACACCTGTTTAAGTAGGGGGTGGGCTTATTACTGAGTTTGAGCTTTATCACAGGTAACATCTGTTTAAGTAGGGGGTGGGCTTATTACTGAGTTTGAGCTTTATCACAGGTAACATCTGTTTAAGTAGGGGGTGGTCTTATTACTGAGTATGAGTTTATCACAAGTGACATCTGTTTAAGTAGGGGGTGGGCTAAATATTACTGAGTGTGAGTTTATCACAGGTAACATCTGTTTAAGTAGGGGGTGGTCTTATTACTGAGTATGAGTTTATCACAGGTAACATCTGTTTAAGTAGGGGGTGGTCTTATTACTGAGTATGAGTTTATCACAGGTTACATCTGTTTAAGTAGGGGGTGGGCTTATTACTGAGTATGAGTTTATCACAGGTTACATCTGTTTAAGTAGGGGGGTGGGCTTATTACTGAGTGTGAGTTTATCACAGGTTACATCTGTTTAAGTAGGGGGTGGGCTTATTACTGAGTTTGAGTTTTATCACAGGTAACATCTGTTTAAGTAGGGGGTGGGCTTATTACTGAGTATGAGTTCATGACAGGTAACATCTGTTTAAATAAGGGTCGGGCTGATTACTGAGTATGAACTTATCACAGGTAACATGTTTAACTAGGGGTGGGCTTAATACTGAACATGAGTTTATCACTGTTAATCTCTGATTAACTTGGGGTGGGCTTATCACTGAGCATGGGTTTATCACTGGTAACATCTGTTTACCTTAGGGTTAGCTTATCACTGAGCATTGGTTTATCACTGGTAACATCTGTTTACCTTAGGGTTAGTTTATCACTGAGCATTGGTTTATCACTGGTAACATCTGTTTAACTTGGTGGGAAGGCTTATCACCAAGCTTGAGCTTATCATTCACAGGTAACATCTGTTTAACTTTGGTGGGGGGGAGCATGTTACCCAGAGCATGGGATTATCACTGGTAACATCTGTTTGAGGGTTGGGCTTATTACAGAGCATGAGTTTATCACAGGTAACATGTTTAACATGAGGATGAAATAATCACTGGCAATATTATATTTAACTTCATGCGAAAGAGCATGTTACTGACCATGAAATTATTCTTGGTAACATCTGTTCAACTAGGAGTTGGGCTTGCAACTGCAGCATCTACTCTCTTCAACAATTGGAATGTAGACGTTTTAGCTGTGTATATTAAGCAGCCTAGAATTACCCGAAGGAGAATAATGGCCAAGGCATGAGTTAACAGTATATTGTGTAACAGGAGAATTATGCTGTAAGTATTAATTAACGGGATGTTATATTACAGGGGTATATTGCTGTCAGTTATATCAGGAATGCTATATGGACAGATCTTCACTCCGTCCCTGTATATACAAAGCAACAACAAATCTTACCCTTCAGCTAGCAAGCAAGGTAGGTATCTTTAAATAAATATGCTATTTTATTTTAGTTTAATTCTTACCAGGTCACCTGGACAACTAGTTAATTTCATACGAGCTCACTTGGCCAAAAGGACCATATACATGTACATGAGCTTATTCCATGACATGGCAACCATAGTAGTCTGTCATCCAAAGGTCATCTTTGTTTTAAACACTCCTGGTCTAGAACAGCTGTGGGGATTTTGACAAAAAATAATCTGGAGCAATGTCAGGCAAGGTAGACTGATTGTTGTAATAAATTTACACCTTAGGGAGGAGGGGCTGGGCCAAATAGGGTAAATAAAGGCTGGTACATGATTTGGCCTTCTAAATTCTAAATTCTATAAAAAACTTTTTACATATGGGTTAAGGCATTTAAACGAAATCAATATGGAGAATCCTTCTGTAATGAATTAAATTTTGTATAAAAAAGGCTATGCCTTTCCTTGGGAAAGAGAGGCTATGCCTTTCCTTGGGGAAGAGAGGATATGCCCAAAAGGGGAAAGTAACTTTTTTAAAATCCTTCTCCTCATAAAGATAAGGGGATTTTAACTAAATATGATTTGGAGCATCCCCAAAGGGAATCACTTTTATATAAAGGAAGAGTGATGCCCAAGGAAGTGGCAGGGCTTAACAGGGTTAACAGAGGTATATCTAGAAATTCCTTTTCACTTCTGTTAAGATACCAATTTTTTCCCGAAGTTGATCTAGAGTAGTTGAGACTCTATACATGATCTTTGGGTGTAGAATTATACTACTCAAATAGGATTCCACTATATAATAATACATGTATACACACATAATAAATATAAAGAGAAATAAATCCAAGCTACCAGCCCCTGCAAATCACAATCCTAAAAATGAAACCATGCTTCCATGATTAGCCTTGGGGTCCAGCCCTGCTCGTGAAGACTTAGTCCCTTTGTCTGATACTATATTTCCACTCAATTAGCAATCTATGCAATTGCTTGGCATGAGGAGAGGGACACAATCATGCAATTTTAGAATGAACCTCTGGATCCAGCCTGACTTAGTCTCTTGGTACAAACATAGAAACCATTGAGATTCCCACCCTATAACCATAATTAATGTCATTGCTGAGCATGACGAGACAAAGTCAATCATGCTTCCATGATTTACCCTGGGGTCTGCAACACTGTGGTAGGCAAAGTTTCAAAACAAAGAAAGCTTCAGATCATTGCATTTGAAGAGCATATAATTGCTAGTCATAAAAATAAGAATACATTAATGCTGCTAAGATTTACTTTGGGGTCTGTTGTCACCCCTTTCAACTTTTATCCAAGTCATTACATCAAATGGTCAAGAAACCAAGCCTTAAAGAATATTAACAATGGTTAGGCATAAGTGACAACTACTTTAGGATTGGCGAAGGGGTCTGGTCCTATCTTTGGGACTTCATCCCAGGTCATTACTCCCTATAATCATACACATATACATAATTATGATCTCAACAAAATCCTTTGCTTCCGAAGTATACATGTTCCTGGTTCTAGTGGACATTGGTTGTATACAGAAACAGTAAGCTTTCCTGTGGGATGATGGGCAATGTCAAAAACTGACAAACTGAGGTTGTTTTAAATTTTGTAAATGCCTTCTCCTTTTGAACAGTTGATAGTTCTTTTACCAATTTTGCTATAAAAACTTCTTTGGACAAGGAAATAAAACACCACATAAAGGAACGGTGTTGTATGCCTTGATACAGAGATACGGAGCCCAACAAAAAGAAATAAATATTATCGTACTATTGATGAAACTATTTTGGGTCTATGTTAGGGATGCATAGCCTCTGGTAAATGATTTAAAAAAATAAATCTTTCTGTAACTATTGTAAGAATACCTCTTTTGAGCTTCACTGTCACAGTTTTGTCACACTGTAGCATCTTCATTTCTGAATGTTTAATCACATATGGAATGGCTAACTAATTAACATATAAATGGTCAAAGAAATTAATTGTTCAAGTACATTTTTTCTTATACCTTGATTTAGCTCCCTTTTCATGGCTTCAGGACATTAATGTCATACAGATCCGTTTAATACTTGAATAAATCATCAGTTTTAAAAGATATATACCAAACAGTGGGTAATTAAGCAGTAAAACAAATCATTGAAGATTCTATGTCCTATAAGCATTATTACTTGATTCGTACCCTACACTAAATCACTGATTAACAGTTAGGACTCGGTACCAAGACCTGTTGAGTTTGTCTTTTACATTGAACTTTGTGTTACAGGTCTGGATTATGTTTTTGCGTGTTTCTGTGGGATCTACCTCTCTAGTACCGTGTATTTCTGTATATATGCCCTGATCAAGAAGAACCGACCACGTGTATATCCACGGGTCATTGTACCAGGAGTCGTCTCCGGCATCATGTGGGCTGCAGCCACTTCATCATGGTTCGTCGCTAACAAGATCCTGTCTGAACCAGTGGCGTTCCCCATTATAACCACACTTCCTTCTGTTGTGGCTTCCATTCTCGGCATATTTGTCTTCAAGGAAATAAGAGTGAGTGTTCTCAATAGATACTTTTTCCATTATCATTTTGATAGTAGCTATATAGGGGTTGTATGTTTTTAAAACTGAAGACAAACTCCTCCTTGGTTTATCGAGTAACATTGTATCCCAAGTGGAACTTACTTGTGGACCCTAAAATAACAGAATAACAATAACAATAGATACAACGTTCATACAATGATTACCCGCACACATGTAGTGTACACACAAGGGGCATGACTCAATCAGTATTCTCAATACACTTGAAGTATCCCCCTCGGACATCAATCAAAGAGAGATTCATCATTTCATCTTTTATCTTTACATCTCTAAGTGTATCAGTATTTGCCTTCAAACTGAGTGATACACTTATTGGGTATTGAAATAATGTTATACATAAAAAGGTAGGAGTTCAACATTTTATAGAAAACGTTATCTTGAAACACTGTATATTGTTAAGAGGCATTAAGACATTATTGCATCACTTTTTATACGCCCATCGAAGACGGGGACGTATTATGTTATCACGTGAGCGGGCGGGCGGGCATGCGAACGATGTCCGCTCAATATCTCAAGTAATTATTAACGGATTAACTTCAAACTTCACAACAAGGTTAATTACCATGAAAGCTCGGACATGTTCGATAACCGCCATTATCCGACCATAATTTGTGGAGTTATGCCCCTTTATGGACTTGCCGAAACAGTGTCCGCTCGATATCTCGAGTAATTATTAACGGATTAACTTCAAACTTCACAACAAGGTTAATTACCATGAAAGCTCGGACAAGTTCGATAACCGCCATTATTCGACCATAATTTGTGGAGTTATGCCCCTTTATGGACGAAGGTTAATTTCCGTAGAAGCTTGGACAAGTTTGATAACCATTATTATCTGACCGTAATTATTGGAGTTATTCCCCTTGGTTTCATTAATGCGATGCATGCGTTCCATGATGTTGTATTGCACTCATTGATCTACCAGTTATGTTGAATGATTTCTCCTTTAATATCAAATACTCACAAATACTTCATATATTTCAATCATATAAACAACTGCTCATTCAATGTGTGATGGGCGTATTATATACCGCTCGCGGTAACCTTGTTCTTTGTTGTATTTGCAGGGAAAACGAAATATCCTGATATTAATGCTTGGGTTCTGTATGGCTGGATCTGGTGCAGTGTTAGCTGGACTCTCAAAACACGGCGAGTCGTGCCACCACTAACACGAGGATGACAAAACATGGCGAGTCATTCCACCACTAACACAAGGATGACAAAACACGGCGAGTCGTGCCACCCCTAACACAAGGATGACAAAACACTGCGAGTCGTGCCCCCCCTAACACAAGGATGACAAAACACGGGAAGTCGTGCCACCACTAACACAAGGATGACAAAACCCGGCGAGCCGTGCCACCACTAACACAAGGATAACAAAACACGGCGAGTCGTGCCAACCCTAACAAAAGGATGACAAAACACGGCGAGTCATTCCACCACTAACACGAGGATGACAACACATGGCGAGTCATTCCACCACTAACCCAAGGATGACAAAACACGGCGAGTCGTGCCACCACTAACACAAGGATGACAAAACACGGCGAGTCATTCCACCACTAACACGAGGATGACAAAACATTCGAAGACGTGCTACCACTAACACAAAATATCACAACAAGCAGATAGAGCCCTAACAGAACATGCAGCATGACCACACACGTTACAATAACAAAGCTCGACAACCATAGCTACCATGAACGTGAGACATTCACAACACATAGCAACAAATGACACCACGAACGTGAGACATTCACAACACAAAGCAACCAATGCCACCAGGAATGTGAGACATTCACAAAACATAGCAACCAATTAAGCGCAATGACACCATGAACGTAAGACATTAACAAATCACATAGCAACCAGGGCTACCAAAAACGTGAGACATTCACAAAACATAGCAACCAATTAAGCGCAATGACACCATGAACGTGAGACATTCACAAATCACATAGCAACAAGGGCTACCAAAAACGTGAGACATTCACAAAACATAGCAGCCAATGTCACCATGAACGTGAGACATTCACTAAACATAGCAACCAAGGCCACCACGAACGTGAGACATACACCAAACATAGCAACCAAGGCCACCACGAACTTGAGACATACACCAAACATAGCAACCAAGGCCACCACGAACGTGAGACAGACACAAAACATAGCAACCAAGGCCACCACGAACTTGAGACATACACCAAACATAGCAACCAAGGCCACCACGAACGTGAGACATACACAAAACATAGCAACCAAGGCCACTACAAAATTCAGACATACACCAAACAGCAACCAGTGCCATTGCTAATGCATCACAAAGAAAGGACAGCAATACCACTATTTACACGGAAGAGATTGCCGCCACAAATGCAAGAAATATGTACAGAAAGCGATATAATTACAACAATGTTCATTTATTACCGGTGATATTGATGAAGTGAGAAATTACTATATATATTTTAAATCCTATATAGATATATCTCCCAGTCTGGCATGGGAACAAACACATTTCGACAGGGAATATATATACATGTTTATGTTCATTGAAGCGAAAGTACAGATTTGTTTTTAAAATGGTAATATAACTGCCACAGTGTCAATTATACCCAGGAAGGAAGATCTCGTTCAAATATTCATTTATTTTTTATACCAATTCATGGAGAGGGGAAGTGTGAGCTAACATGTTATATGTATATATATGTGTAAGGACGTTCAATTCAGATATACCTACATTAAAGTCGAATGTATTTTAAATGAATTCACAAGTATTCAAATGTTGTACAAACTAATTTTTCATTTTAGAAGTTAAGGGAAAATCTGCAGTACAGGATATTTTCCTTAGCTTCAATAATGCTTCCCTATTGGAAAGCTCAAGGAATATCAGTAAGTTAAGGAATATTTGTAAGCTATGGCAAAGTAAATCCAAAATGATTTTAAGTTTGCTCCCTAAGGTTAAAATGCTTCTGTTAGCCATACCACCACAGATAGATGTCTGGTTTTCTATCCGTCAAAATGTCTATGTCTGGTGTCCGGGCCAGAGGAAACTTGGGCTTACAAGACCTCTGTTTGTCAAAATATGAAAGTCTTGTGTCGGGGCCAGAGGAATTTCGGGCACATGTAATATGGTGAAGTTCAAAGCGGTTTATATAACTGATGTTCAAATACAGGGAGCAGTGCTGATGACAATCAATAAACTAATGTATTGATTTACGTTTCAGTGATTGCTATATATAGCCACGGACTAAGATAATACATCTAATCTAATTCCGTGATATAGCAAAGTACAGCTGATATACAAAAAAACTGTATGCCGTCAAATTCAATCTAACTTCGTTATTATATTTGCTATAAAACCTTAGATTTCTTTTGTTTCCTTTGCATAATAGGAGACGTTTTAAAAGACTCGGCCTGCTTTGACAAAGTCGTCAGAGGCGACTAACATATGACTGGATGCAAAATTGACTCTTAAATTCAATGTCTCCTTCGGGACACGATAGACACCAACATTGATATTTTAGACTTCTGTCGTTTCGTTTGTGTCCTCTCGCACACCTCGTTACAGCATACTTTCCTAGATAGCTCTGGTTAGCGCCATAGTCATATTTATGTGACGGATTTGGGCGCCATGCTCTAATGTTAAGTTATATTATGGCATTTCAGTAAGATAGCATTTCAAGGCTGCCATTCAGTTGGCTAGCTCCGGCCATTGCCTTAGTTTATATGAAATATTTTTGTTTGAAACACGAAAGCCAAAACAAAGAAAAAAACTTACCTATGTTTCACTTTACATCATAGCAGCTCATGATGATGCATACAAGATGAATTCTGAAAAAGACAGCATATGAATCTCCGTACAAATGTTGATCTCCACTTTTTTACCATCTGCCACCTAATCATGGTTTATGATGGACGATTGTTATGTGCTTTACATACATGTTTATGTGATGTGGTTGATCTTTCCCTGAAAACAGCCCCAAAATCCCGAGAGTTGCTCTCCCTAACGTTTTAAGTGAGGTTGTTTCATATTACTGTGTGTTGAGAGCGTATCCTTTGGATGATTAAATCTGGCTGTTATTGTGTCAATAAATCGTGTTATGTTGATATAAGACACAATCTTTCAAATCATGATAACCCTGTAACAAAATGTTGTGTTCTGTTGTATTAAATGTAAATATTCGCCCAGAACATGTTTTGGGGATTGTGATTATAATTGATGGCGCGATGAGTACTATGTGCGTCCCAATTTTGCATATGCACACATAATACTGCATAACCAAAAAATTCCCATTTTTTTTTAGTTTTTTTTTGCATATGCAGAGTGAATGTTACGAAATTGAATACTCACAAATATACTAGTATTTGCATATGCATACTTTTAAATTCAGTTTTTGCATACACCAAAATAATTTGTCTGGTATGCAACTTATTTTGTATTTATACAGTCTATTAAGTATGGAAACAAATAGTATCCAATATTCGATTTTTTGGTATCAAATATTTTTTTACTTCTGCCGAAAAATGTTTGTGGTGCATTTATCGTTCCACATTGTAATGCATGAAAATTCACCTCATTAGAAACTGGTCAGTGCAATCTCTTCAATCAATCTCATCACTCAATCTCATCACTCAAATTTTTTTTTATTTGTAAATTTTCCATCTATAGTTTTCACGGGCATTTTTTAAAATTGCTTTATATCTAACAAGGTTTTTTTCATGTACTGTTTGTTAGTTTGTGTTAGTTATATTTTACAACATGTATCTTATAAGTAGTTTGGTGAAATTGAAATAAAATAATACCTTACTTTCACTTGTTTTCGTATAATTTTCCTTTGTGAAAACGTGTTTAAACATGATTATACCTCATAAAAGTAAAAATCAATTAATGCAATTTCTCAAAGCATCATTAACCCCTACCCGTTATACGTTATTATGAACAGCAAACTGCAATTGTATAACGATGTATTTAATCGGAGTGCATGTCTTTTTGTTAAATTATCGACGTGTTCTGCAACAAAGCTACTGGATGATGTTCAATCAACGTCATCAAACTGGGCCTTCTATCAATGGATATGTATCGACACCCACGCTGGAAAGTCTTCTAGATAATGCCAGAGGTGATCAGTAGCTGTCTATATCAGAAAATCAATTAGCGACCATTCTATTCCCTGTGCCAGACACAATGCGATACCCTCTCCACTGCCCTTCGCACCCACTGAATAACGCCCCTGATGCTTACGTCAACCTATTGAACTGTTTTCGGAATGCGATTCATCAGTTTGCGATGAATAATCATTGCTAAGTTTGTTTTAAACACAAACAGTAATTGAAAACTTAGTTTGCGAGCTTTCGAAAACGAGTGCAAATGACCGATGTCTCGACTTTAAACCGCTGAAAACAATTAACTAAGCCACAATGTGACGAAATAGTAATTATAACGAGACATTCTCCATATAGCACTCTACAGGCAGTCAAATGAACGGGTAATATGTTTACTCATTCCGCCCTTTAATGGATGTTAATAACTTCATTGAGTTATTGGAGTTTATTCTCAACACCACTTATTTTTCATTCAGGGACAAAGGTTACCTGCAAAAGTTTTGGGGGAGCCAAGTATCACCTAATGTTGCTCATTTATTCATGGAGCAGGTGGTCATCACAACTGCTCCGATGGAGTGTCGTCCGTAACTATACAAAACACTTGTTACGACATCTAAGAAGTAGTCAAGAAAGGTGAGGTAAACAGCCTATCAACTCGCATAACCAGGTTGATGATATAGGTGCAATAACATTTACATCAGAAGAGGAAGACGGAACAATTTCTTTCTTGCTGGTATACCGAAAAAACATTCGTACAGACCAGTAACTGAACATCAATTCACACCATCCACTGCATCAGAAGTTGGGGCGTAGTTCGCAGTCTCCTGGACAGATGCAATAACATCGTAACTGAACAGGAAAACATGGACATTGGAAACCAACATATTAAAGAAGCTCCGACAACATGTGGATATCGCGAATGGTTGATAAGGAAAGAAGAGAAACAAATGGAAAATAAATGTAATTGGAATGGCCCTTAGATACACATACATACAAACACGGAGAGAAAAAACTAACGGCATGGTCACTATACCATGCATAAAAGGGGTGTCTGAAGCACTTTCAATAGTGTTGCGCAAACATCACATCAGCACGCCCATGCGACCTCACAACACCACCAATTAAGCAACTATCAAAGTTCACCTGAGACGAAAGACAAAACAGTGGTGGATTACCAAATTCCATGTAACAGCTGCGACCTCAAAAATCATCGGGGAAACTGGCCGGAAATTTGGAACACACTTAAAAGAACATCAGAAAGACTCTGAATCTATGAAACAGCAAGTCTACACTAGAAATACAATAAATCAGCCCTTACAGACCATGCAAACATACACAACCACATCATAGATAAGAACAACTCTAGAGTGCTTATAAGAAAAGACAACTCGAAAGCGAAGAAAATAAAAGAATCCATCTGGATTAGAAGGAAAGGAGGAAAGCTGAACAGAGACAAGGGGCCACCAACTAAGTCATCTTTATGACACCATTTTAACATTAACTCAGGGGCGGAATGGGTAAACTTATTACCAGTCACTCTGACTGACTGCAGTATTATATTGCTGTATGGCGAAAAGTCTAGGTATATTCCGAAAGCTGAATTTGTTACATTGTGGCTTAGTGAGCTGTTTTCAGTGTTACAGAGTCGAGACACCAATCATTTGAACTCTTTTCTTTATAAAGGGAACAGACGTTTTCGAAAGATCGCAAAATACGTTTTCAGTTACTGCTTGTGTTCAAAGCAAGCTTTGCATTTATTATTGAGCTGTTTGTCTTTGCTCCGAATCTGCAAATAAAAGAAGAGATGGGCAGATGGACCTCTTTTTACGTATACTATTCTTAACGTTCTGTATATTTAAGCGACCTATTGACATATATATTGAAACATTGTTAATCTTTGCATTTCATCATTATATAGCGATTTCTATTAACTGAAGAAACGAAGTCCTGAACTAGCCATTTTATAAATATCATATGGCACGGCTACCATCGTTACCATTTCGTCCATTTCCCATTCAACCATCCTCGAAATTCTAGGCCGAGGTTACGCTTTCTGCACAGAACCTGATTGAACGCAACCCCTGGAATATCGAGGATGCCTTTCAACCTACAAAATAAATTTGGCCATTCTTCACTCGGGAAATGGTTTGTCCTTATAATTAGTTGATGCTGCTCTTTTGATGGTATGTTAACCGCAAAATCAACACAATATCGTGACGGGCTTTCTAAGTGTAGGAGCAGCACCACAAAGGCAAAGTATTTTTTCTGTAGTTAAGTTTCAAAATAATATGAAAAAGAAGTTTGTGTATTTAAAACTCATGTTCCTCATCTTTTTGGTGAGTCTACTCTGTCATACCAGAATATGAACATGCGTAATCAATATAACGTATGTATTAATTAAGTGTAAAGAAAAGTTTTTTATATAACTTTCACATTTGACCTTAATTTTTGAAAAAGTTGGTCCGGGGCATATCTTCTATACTATTATATAGACTTAAAACACAATTATGACACCAGCCTTTGTTCTCAATGTACATTATATAGTACCTGTAGCTGTCCATTATTGTGTTTAGTAATGGACAGCTACTGTCTGCTCATTTTACAACAGAAATCCAAGTGTGTTCAAATTAATAAAACTTTTGCGTGTAAATAATGTCAAAGAACTATGTAACACTGGGAAATACCTATATTATGCTACGAGGAAACGTGAAAACCCTTAATGTGTTCAAGTATTTAGTATTTAATTATAGTCTTAAGTATTTAGTAATTTAGTATTTAAGGATTAATGATTATGTATGCATGTACAATCGTATTATAATGTGTTCAAATATTTCGTTATCACTCACCTGATTATGTATGTAGGTGTGTGTAGGTGTGGGGGTGGGGTGGGGTTGTATGTGTGNGGCTAATAAAGAATCTGAATACTGGCCTACTAATGGGCAGGTACATTTAACAAATACCTGATTTCCAAAATGGGAGAAAAATAATCATCCCCTACCTTGAGGGTGTAGGATTGCTATTGTAAAGTACTGGCTGCAAATATTAAAGACTAATAACTGTATTTTGAGGGCCTGTTACGATGAACTTTTAGAGCTTTATAACAGGAAACCAAATTGTAAAGCAAATTGGGTTTATCATCTGAGACGTGATTTGTGTACGTTGGGTTTTGGAGATGTGTGGTTGGCACAATGTGTACCAAATGAGAAATCTTTTTTATTATTATATATACAACGCATGAAGGATACTTTTATTCAGGAAACGAGAAACATATTCGAGACATCTTCAAAATGTTTATTGTATAAACATATTGTTGACCGTTTTGATTTACAATGGTATTTTACAAAACCGCTATTTAGAAAAAATAAATGTATTCTTGCAAAATATAGATTGCAAGCACATAACCTTAATATAGAGACAAGTAGATATAATGCAGTGCCTCGAAACCAGAGATTGTGTACTTTATGTGATCTTGGATATGTCGAGGATGAGTTTCATTTCATTCTTATGTGTCCTGTGTTTTTAGAATTAAGAGTATCGTATATCAAGCCATATTATCGTATTCGTCCTTCTGTGTTTAAATTAATAGAGCTACTGTCTAGCAAAAAATTTAAACTTATTAGAAATTTAAGTAAGTACTTGATTCAGGCAACAGTTAAGAGAAGTCGTATATTAAGAAATATAAGCTGTTTCAAATTCTTGCTATAAACGTTTTGTTACTGTATAATGCGATTGAGATCTATGTCTTTTATTTCACAATGAGTCATAATCTCATTTCATTATATAACATATAGTACTCGTTCTACCTTCATGTTCAGGTTGTATGATTGACTTTGAAGTTTTGTTATTTCCTAGAAAGGGCCGGTTTCCAAAACGGCCCCTTCTCTGATTCAAATTTCCTGTTGGTGGTGCATTGCCCATGCCGTTGTGGTCACAAATCTATAAAGTATAAAGATTTAGGTCACTTGGTTTGTTTTTTATGGCTCCTCAAAGTTGTACCTTTCAGAAGCTGTCTAAGTGTTGATAAAATGTGCATGTTATGTAAAATATTAATGAAAATCTAATCAAATGATGGTCACCGTAAAGAATACATTCATGGCATGATTGTGACAAAAAATCATGTTTCCATCGCGCCATTTGGCTGTTTTATGGAAGAAACAATCTCAAAAATGCCATTTTCGATGATAACATTTTAGACACAAAAACTGTGTTTTTTAGAGAATACACCCTTTTATGGGCGTTGGATGCAAACCAATTTTTATCCTATTAAACAGTACGTAATATGCTATTGATGAGAGGAAAAATCATCAAAATGTAAGTGGTGGAACATTTTCAAATGTTGGGTTGAATTAGCCTATGGTTGAATTGCCGATTTTCGACTTTCTTTAGATAATTAACAAAAAAACGAGAGTATTTGCTCGGTATGTTGAGAATATGTACACAGATATGAAAAAAAGTGAGAGAAACACTTTTTCATAAAAAAAATCCAAGATGGCTACTTCACAAGTCCCCGTGGTTGAAGACATTGGCTGACAAATAGACAGAACAACAAACAAAACGTGTTCCTTATGATTTTGGTTGGTTTTCGCATTTACGGGAGTGTTCATAGCTACGGGCGATTGTATAATACCTATATTTATAAGTTTGGTTAGTCACATGGTAACGGGGATCTTTCATATCGAGCCCCAAACATACTTTCGACATATGCACTCC